TTAAAGACACCCCCCCCCCCCCAAAAAAAAAAGTTATTTTAACTGACAGTGACAGGGAAGATTTGGATTTAGTGGTGAGACAGTATTGGATTAAGAAATTCTTTGGTACTGTTGTGGAAAGTCACTTTGACATTTGTGTTTTTATTTGTGTTTATGCATACGCACACACTTGTGTGCAAATGTATATGCAGGGTAGTTGAGGTTTTTTGGGGGGTGCGGGGAAGGGGATTCTGTTTGCTGCTTGGAGGGAGGTTTATAATGTTATACTTTAATAAACTCTGCAATCTAAACTCTCCAAAATTGCTAGAGTCTTTCAAGAAAATCATTTTAGCTCACAGGATGTGATTAATGTTTTCTTGTCAAATGGGTCATTTTTCAAAGTTCATTCAGTTCTTCATCCACATACAGTATAGTTCCACAGTACTGACTAAACAAACACGATTTTTAAAATGACTACCTGTGTCTATGTTCTGTGACATTTATGATGTACAGTAAGGTTGTTGTTTTTCTGACTTTGCTGTGGAACGTTCTTGATTTGATCTAGACTTGGGTTTCAGCTTGTCTATGTTGTTGCTGAGAGGTCAAGTGACTTGAGTAAATGAGCACACTGTTTGGACGCCACACTTTTATGACAGTGCAGGAATGAGGTCAAACAGAACAAAGTGTCTCTGGTGTGATGTGATACAGGTTAGTGACTCGAACACACACATGCAAGCAGACTGTCGAGCTTCACATGGAGCAACTGAGTATTAACACATGCTGGGTGGAAGGTAATCAGGATCTCCGGCGGAGATGAGAAGAGATTAAAACATCATCATCAGCATATTTGGACACATGTGAAGGTGCTAAGACTGGCTGCTGGGTGTCAGTATGTGTGTGTTCACGAGTCCAAGTTCATGTGATGGCTGTCATTAAAGCAGGGTCTAAGTTCAAGTGCAATGAAGCAGCACCTGCTGTAACCACACACATGACACACATGGCCCACATAGGAAACACGCACACACACGGGTTATTTTCATCTCACTCCTCTCAAAACACACAGTAATCCCACCATTAATCTGCCTCACGCCTGCTTGACATCACATCAGGTCACGCCTTGTCATATGAACATGTTGGTCAGTCCTCACATGCAGGAGCGTTGTTTTCATGTCATGAATGACACGTGTGTGTTTGTGTCTATCCATATGAACAAACAATGTTACAGCAAATAGTTTTTTGCTTTATTTTTGTTTTTGTTCAACTCTCGGTCAACGTTTTACTTTGCTTGATCAAATGTTTTTATTTAAATATTTACTTTGGCTGATATTTATATTATAAATCTTTATATATTTATATTAATTTCTTTGCTAATTTGCAGTTAACATTTGCTCAGGTTTACGCCTTGATGATGCATGTACTCATCAAATGAGAAATGCATCTTGAGGAAATTTTAATTTTAATATTTTAATAAAAATTAAATTTTAATATAAGCTATCTTATATTACATGCTTTCTGGTTATATTATAGAGCTATCTTAAATTACATGCTTTCTGGTTATATTATAGAAGATGTTTCCAGAACCTGGTCCTAGTAAGGCAGTACCTACCTCTGTGAGTGTGGTGTGTCTGCACAGGAAGACACCAACTGGTCATCATGAACAGGTGGTCCAGGGTGCAGCACTAGGGCATCGGTGGCGACTTTGGGTTCAAGGGTAAAGACAGTGTGTGTGTGTGTGTGTGTTCACACACAATTGCCATAAAAAGAAGTACACTTGACTTTGTTTATTTTTCTTTCTTTACACTGTTGACTCATTGAGGTCAATGAAGATATAAAAGCATATTTGAACCAGATGATGCTGTTGTGCTGTGGACTTTAGTTCTGGAAAGTGATTCTAAAGTGACTAAAATGTAAGAAAAAAACATAGAACCACAAACCTAGATTATAAAATATAATCTTTAAGTGATGGAAGAAAAAAACCCACAGAAGCCACAATGAGCCAGAAAAGGAGGTGCACTGCTGCAATGTACCACCAGAGGGCATAGGACTGAGTCACAGCGTGGATGGATATGGAACCTGGAATTCACCTGTTGTCACAGGGTGAATATATTGCATTTAAACATTTTTATTTGAGTAACGCCTCCGTTTTCCTGCAGTTATTTGTGACATCATCACTGTGTCCCGCCACTGCAGCTGCAGTGTTATGGGAAATCCATCACACGCCCTGTAAACCATTCCACTGTGGTATTTTCTGACACAGCTGCCATTCAGCTGCTGCTGCAGTGTTGGGTTTACAGGGTGTGTGTTCGGACGCTGCTACTCCTGCACGTGCGGTGTGTGAAGTCAGAGAGAAATTAAGTGAATAAAGTTAATAAAGGTTTTTGATAGCTCAGAGCTATCTGTAAGTTACTATATTAAACAAATGTAGTCTATGAAATAGCTACAAGTTTGACTAGATATTGATGTAGCCACATGGTCATAAATAACAAAGCTTTGTGTTTAGCAACTTCTGATTTAAAAAAAGGTCTAAAAACAATACATGTAGTGTATGTGTCGTGTATTCAACAGTCCTAGTGACACATATGGGCCGCAATCCAGAGGTTGGACTCATCTAGTGCCCATTATTTGGTCAACATTAGCAGCCCATGTGTATTTGTCACTTTATGAAAGTGCTTTCACTTCGTCTGCCTGTGTTGTTCTCCGCCCATCTCCTCCTCTTTACACCTCCTCCTCTTATCTCTTCTCTCGCCTCCTCCGCGCCTGCTCCTCCTCCTGCTCTCTGGGTCCCAGCAGTTCCGGGTTCTTCTCCTCTTCTTCTACATCTTGTCCCCTTCTCATCCACGCAGCATCAGCGTTCGCAGCCTCAGTATCGTGCGGTGTCATGGTGCGGGACGTCGCTGCGGGGACAGAGGTAAGAACGCCGTGACGTAATTTCTTTGTAAAAAACCTGCGACGTATAAGCTCGAGATAAACTTTGACGTCTCTCGTTCTCTCTCTCCCGCTTCCTCTTTATACTCTCACTATATTTATTTCTGTGACGTCGTCGTGTCTGCGCCTTGAACGCGTGCGTTTCTTCGTTTCCGCTAACTTTTACCGTCCGTACACGCCGTGTGCGTGTTCTCAGTTACGCGCGTGTTCTGTCACACCAACGCGGGGCGGACGTCTCGCGTGTGGTGCTCAAACACACTTATTTGAATGGCACCATATTATGTAATTAAATGTGCGCGTGAGTGTGTGATTGTCGCCATTGATGTTGTTTTGACAGTGGTGACGTAGTGCGTGACGCGACTCAGCGACGAGACCAGGTCTGTGTGTATGTACTATGTATATTTGTGTTTGGAGGATTTCTTTGCTGCGCACTTAAGATTTTTCTAGCAAAAGAGGCCACGCCCCCTCATTCATGTACTTACACAGTGAGTAAACACAGCTGACGTAAAAAACCATAGTGTCCCCGTGACGTCACGTCACTACGAAACAAGGTTCACGTTAATTCTGCTCAGTTTGCTTTTCAATGTACTTAGTTGTCGTCTATTCTGTTTGACATAATTCTATGATTTGCTTTCCTTTGTGTTCACTTCTAACTTTTATCTCATGAAACCGTAAACATTGACAGTAAATGTTTGATATGGTCTGTGTTTGCAGGTGACATCATCATAAAGTTAACTTTGTGCGTGAAGATGCTGATTCTGCCCAGTCATGACAGAGATCAAACCGACCCACTCTCGGGGAATTCTGGGAGTTTTACCCACTAAGGCCGTGTGTTTTCAAGTGCTCAGTGACAATGGAGCAGGACTTTACTCAGTGACACAGATTATGTTCACGTGCAAGTGTCGAGCTGACGAGCGAGAAACAAGCCCAGTGTAAAGATGGCCGCCACAGGAAGGAAGCACTTAGTGAGAGACTTTAACCATTTTATCACCTGCTTTCTCTGTCGAGGTTATCTGATCAAACCCACGACTGTTACGGAGTGTTTACACACCTGTGAGTGGAACACACACACACAGCTACATAAGATGGATGGTTGTGTTGATGGCTGGTTGGATGGAACAGTTGGTTGGATGGCCTGGATTGAAGTGCTGTGATTGGTATGATGGATGGATGGATAGATTGAAAGATGGTGGGCTGGTTGTGTGATTGGTTGGTTGGTTGACTGACTGCTTAAACAATCATTTAGTTCAGGTTTCCTTTTGTCTCCTCTCCAGTCTGTAAGAGCTGCATCGTTCAACATTTTGAAGACAGTAACGACTGTCCCAGATGTGGTATTCAAGTCCATGAGACCAACCCACTGGAGATGCTCAGGTGACCTCTTCATTTCCCTCCGGCTTCACTTTCACTTTTCCTCCACTTCTTCCTCCTCTTCTCATTGCCCTCCTGCTCCTCTCTGTCCAGGTTGGACAACACTCTGGAGGAGATTATTTTTAAGCTGGTGCCTGGACTCAGAGAGAGTACGTTTACTGTTCACTTGACTGAGTTTCTTCTTTTTTTTAATAACAATTAAATATATATTATAGATTATATTCTTAATCCATTATGCATAAATAAAATAACGCACATAACATTCTGGAAGAAAACAGATTTTTGTGATTAAAGTGATGTTTCAAGATTATGTTAAATGTGTGAGAATTCGATGTGTGGACAAAGACAATTCGAGGTGTGTATCGCCATGGTAACACTGGTTTCTTTTTGGGAAGCAGAAGAAGAACAGCGGGAAATGGAATTCTGGAGGAGAAACCATCCGAAAGAAAACGGACGAGGTGAGGAGACCAGAGTTATGAGTCAGCATGAGTCAGCGATCAAAATTTAACTCCTCTCTTTCTGCGTGTTTGCAATAGAGAACCTGAGGTGTCAGAAGATTGGATTTCCCGATGTTGAAGGTGTTGCGGGCGGCGGTGAAGAAGACAGTGAAGGCACCACTGACTACCACAGAAGTGACCCTCAGATCGCCATCTGTCTGGACTGTCTGAGAAACACCGGACAGACTGGAGAAAATACAGTCACTGTGGGTGAAAACTCAAGTCGAATCCAAATAATTATGTTTGTTTTTGTACGTCCTGGATATAGAATTTGTTAGAACTGTTTTTGTAGCACTAGTTCATATTCGTCCTTTATGTTTTGCCCGATCAGAATTTGATGAAGAAGTTCATTCGCTGCTCCAGCAGAGTCACCGTGGGAACTATTAAAAAGTTCTTGAGTCTGAAGCTAAAGCTGCCAAGTTCATACGAGGTAAAACCCACAGCTTTCTACAATTAGAAGATTTATCCTCACCTGGTTTCACTTAAAACTGAAAATCAGTTTTTTGAGGTTTATTTTTGTCTCCGTTTTTCTGCACCCAGTTGGACGTCTTGTGCAACGGAGAGATCATGGGCAGAGATCACACCCTGGAGTTCATCTACATGACCCGATGGAGGCTCCATGGGGACAACGTAAGGATGTCAAATTCTTATGTTTCATGAAAATGTGTTACTTCTGCTGTTAAAATGCTTTGGTCAAATATCAGTGACACAAACTGACCACACGAGGCAGAGGTAGACCAGCAGGAGCTGTGTTAGGTTTATCTCTGGGCTCTGTGATGTGGAAGAGTGAGTTTGAAAATGTTTCTGACTCGGGTCTGTCTCCTCTTTAGACGTATCCCATGGTCCTGGAGTACAGACCACGCATAGACTTCGGCTGAACCATGGTTCCGATGAAGAGCAGCACACACACACGTGCACAGTGTGCAGAGAAATCCACATATTTTTGTACAGATTAAGATGATGAAGTTCAGATGATGTTTTATGTTACATAGATTAATAATATATGCTGTAATAATATATGATATTTTTAAATGTTCCGTCCCTGTGCCTCGATGAAGTTTGATCACACTCTTCCTCACTCTGCCTGTATAACTGTAGATTAAATGTTGATTTTTTTTTACTGTCACTGTTTTTTTTACTCTGTTCTTCTTTAGTGATCAGCATTTTACATTCACACTTTTTAACTTTTAACACATAGCTCTTCATCATAAAAAAAAAAAGTCAAAATAAAGGACCGTAACAACCTGTGAGTATTTTCTACCTCCGCAGCTTTTGACAGAACCATGAAGGTATTTGGGGATTTTAATGCAACACCAGGAACAGAGAACACGGAGAAGGAAATTACTCGTGGATCAATAACATATATATATATATACGTGGAAACATATGTAACATATGTAATCATTCCAAAACAAACGCACCAGCGAAAAAACACTGTAAACGGTGGATGAAAATCTAACAAGTCTTAACCAGGTTTGTCCCTGCTTGCTTGCCTTACAGAAGGGGGCGGGGCCGCGTTGAAGTCCAGCAGCGGGACTTCCTGTTTACCTGGATGTCAGCCAGCTGCTGACATCAAACCCAAGATATATATTTTTTTTTAATTTCACTTAATTTTTTTAATGCCAGTTACTGCTTGTAAAACTCTTTACGTCCTGCAGCACACATCAGCTCAGACCCGGAGTGCTGTAGCAGCTGCTAGCTCTGGTTAGCTGTAATCCCAGATCATGTTGACTATGTTTTATGCTACTTCAGCTACGCTTAGCCTTTATTATTCGGTGTTTGGAATCACAGGAGAAATAGGAGAGGAGAGGAGAGGAGGTGACCGGATGTTGCTGAGAAGAGGAGAGGAGGTGACCGGATGTTGCTGTTAGCTGTTGACACGATTTAAATAAGTGGAATAATGAAATCTAGCGACAGCGAGGAAATAAACAATGTTAACTTGAATGATGGGAATGAGGACAGACGAGTCCTGTCGGACTGCTCTTCAGGTAAAACGTTTCGTTTTGGTTTGTTTTTTTTCTTTTTCATATATACTTCATAACTATCCCGGCCGTTTTGTGGGAAACCGCTGGATGACTTTAGCTTCGCTGAACCTTATATGAGTTTCACCATCAACACTCGGACAAACGTGATGAGTGACGTTAGTGTTTGTTATGGATGTAGAGGTGTACAGCTCCACGGAACACAATATATTATCAACTCACCTGTGATTGTTTTTACCTGTCATTCACCACAATTATGTGACTTGATAGGTCGTTTAGATATACTGTATGAACGTGTACGTCACTGTACATTAGCTGCACTGCTGTTTTATGCTTATTTTATTATAGCACAGTTGCATTTCTACATGTAGTCCAATCATATCTCTCATCTGCCTGCAGGTAAACAAGTGACAGTGATCAAACAGGAGCTTGGCTTTGAAGTGGACGCTGAGTCAGGCCAGGACAACCCAGTGATGCCTGACATCAAACAGGAACATGAAGAACATTCTGCCCATTCACAGCAGCAACTGGACACCTGTTATGATGAAAGTATCAAGTTCCCATTTCTGGTTGTCCAGGTGAAGACCGAAGATAAAGACCAGGAGACGCCTCAATCTTCGCAAAACCTAACTGAGAAAACTGGTCAGTCAGGACGACCAATAAAAACTGAAGCTGGTGGAGATGAAAGTCCTGGTTCAGGTTTGAGTGAGGATCAGATCTCGGAGTCCTCTGACACTGAGGACAGCGCAGAGGACAGTAAGGAGACCACGACGCCCAACAAACGACGCGTACGGCGAGAACCAGGGGAAAAACCGTTTGCCTGCGAACTTTGTGGAAAGAGGTTTAGGAAACCATCGATTGTGATGCGACACATGATGGTTCACACAGGAGAGAAACCCTTCGGTTGTGACATTTGTGGGCAAAGATTTGCCAGGAAGTTTAACTATGACAGACATGCCAAAACACACTCCGGGGAGAAACCCTGTAGCTGTGACATTTGCGGGAAAAGGTTCACAAACAACTGTGACGTGAAGAGACACATGGCAGTTCACATGGAGGAGAAACTGTGCAGTTGCAAAGTGTGTGGGAAAAGATTCACACAGCAAAGTTATGTGAAGAGGCACATGAGACTCCACACAGGAGAGAAACCACGCTGCTGCGACTTCTGTGGGAAAGGATTTCTGCTTTGGCGCCACCTAGAAGAACACATGAGAGTCCACACCGGGGAGAAACCATTCAGATGCAACGTTTGCGGGAAAAGCTTTGCAAAGCGCTGCAATTTTAAGAGACACATGAGGGTCCATTCTGGAGAGAAACCATGTCGCTGTGATGTTTGTGGGAAAACTTTTGCACGGACAAGTTCTCTGAAGACACATTTAAGCGTACATTCATGACGGCAAGAAATGGGATGAAAAGAGAGAGAGCTGCCGTTTAGCTGATTATTTTTCTGCTGTTTATGTTCAGAGAATTGAATTCTGATTGGCGTCTCGGAGCCAAACCTGATCTTTTATCGACATCGTGTCGGTTTGGTTGGTGTGAATTGTTTATGGGTTCAATATCAGCAGACAATCTTTTTTATGGTATGTCAGATTTCAACTACAGAAATTCAAAAATGTTACATCTAAACATACAATCATTGAAGTTGGAGTTTGGTCTCTTTTTATCACCTCACTTTGGTAAATTACTACCAATTGTTTTCTCTCACTGTTGTGCAATAAATGTCCCTTATTCACTTTTTTTTTGCTTTTCTCAGATGAATATTTATATATTTTTTCTACAATAACATTTAATTGTATCAGATATATTACACCCAGATTATTATATTTATTTTTAAATACATGTTTTTATGCTTTAAAGAAAAGTGTTGTTTTGACTTAATTGCATTTTTTAAAATAAAGTGCTACTTCTTTCATTGTTTGTTTCACTGGTTTAAATTTATCAGGACACACAGCACAGAGCATTCGTTTTTCTTGTGTTAATTTTTTTTTTTAAACAGATTTAACTTTTCATCCACTTTCTTTTTTGGAGTATCAGGAAATAAGTATTTTTAAATTTATTTTAGGTTTAGGTATACAGTCATCAGTCGCTGTCACGCCACGGCATCGCGGGTTTTTAATATTTTAAATGTATGTATGTAATTCTTGTACGTCCGCGATTAAAAAGAATTATATTTTCATTATTTTAGTTATAAAATAAGCAAAACCCTGTATAACCTTTTGTGATTTGTAAACGTTTTGTTCCGTATTTTGCCATATTTCACGCACTACGATGCCTCTTAAACGGTTCGTAAAGGGTTATTATATATACGTAAATAATATAATATCTATTCGCGTCTCTTCTTTGCAGTGTTTCGCCTTTCGAGGGCGGTTTTGGAACGTAACCCCCGCGACAGACGAGGCGCCACTGTATTGTATTGTATTGTGAAGTGTGAGTCGTGTGTCGACAGCGGCAGGTGGATGACATCAACATGACACGCATGGCTATAAATAAAAACGGTTTCACCCTGGCTGGAAGGTTTGCGTGGACTTTCAGGAATCCATCCCGATGACTTCATTTACGGCGATGACAACTTTATTAATGTCTGTAGATTTTCAGCAGATTTTCAGCAGATTTTAACACTATCTGCTCCGGAAGACTATAGTCAGTGTTTAAACATCATAAAAAAAGAAAAAAGATTTTCTAAAAATCGAAAGACTGACGCTGCTAAAGCCCCAGCCCTAGTTCATGTCACAGCTACTGATATAGTTTCAAACTGTTTTACTTAAAAAAAGAAAGAAAACAAAAAGTAATATTACAAGTTGGCAAGTTGAAATCTATTTCCCTTGCAATAGCTCTGCACTCCACGGGAGGGCGCTCCACACTTTGGGATCTACTGCTATAGTAAAAGCTACTAATGCTGAAGCATCATTTGTTGTTGCTGAGGCTGAATTCGCTCTTGTTGCTAAGTAAAAGCTGTTGCTGTTGAAGCAGGAGTTGCTTATGCCAAACTTGTCGTTTTAGCTAGTGATGCTAACTCACAGCAACCATTACTGAAGTTGCTGCTGATGTTATTGCTAGTCCTAAAGGCGGTCATGTTAATGCTAAGAACAATCGAAGAAGAATCAATGATAACATCATGGAGCTGCTGGTGCAGCGGATGTTGCTGAGGCTGCAAATGTTGCTGTTCACGCGTACTGTCAGATGGATCTGCTGCAGAACATGCCGTTGTCCCTTGAGTGATGCCCTCTACTGGTAGCTGTGGGTTATTGCAGCGCCAGCTGTTGCTCTTTTATGTTCACCTTCACCTGGAGAAAATGTGACCAGCGTGAACTTCTCTGAGTTTTAAACACATGTTTACGACTCGGGGTCAGAGTTCAGACTATTTATACAACAGACCTGTGACCCACATACTGTCAGGAGGAAGATGAAGATGAAGATGAAGGGCTCTGAAGTTCACGTCTAAACAAAGTCATGGCTGAGATGTGGTCTTCAAGGTTTGTTCGTCATTTTTCATAGGATTTTTTTTTCACTGCAGCCACTTCAGATACTCATCACACAGAAGATAGCATTTAAAATCAGTTACTATATAGAAAAAAAACTTGAATAAATAATAACAATAGACAAAAGTTGTATAAAAAATCTTAAGTAATTATTTATTAATACCATAGCAATTATTGTTATTGTTATACTATAAATTCCCATATGACATACATCTAAGCTATAACTGATGATTATTATTTATAAAAATAAATAAATATAATAGTATTTTAAGAACATGACTTCAAAATAATGAAATATTACTATTCGATGCACTATTTGAATTATACTGTGTCACTTTTTGAAAATTAAAATGTACTGATACATGAACAAGATTTCACCGGTGTTACGGTCACAGTAGAGTGGGTTAAATGTGGGTAAGTGCGCCCTCTTCAGATAAAAATGTCAAATGTTGAAGTTAAAATAATAATTTAAAAAAATCTATTAAAATATGTTCACACGTGTTATATAATTTTCCTTTTTTTTATGTTTTTGTGATTGTTTAATCATCCTGTTTTCTTTACCATCACTGTGCTGTGTGTGTTGGTGTTGTCCGTTGCCATGGTGAGACAGACTAAGACACTGGGAAGACGAGAGCAACATCTTTGGTTTGGTGATTTTTGTTCTTTTCAACTGTGTTTTTTGGGGTTTCTTCGTGTTTCTTCTTTTCCATTCTCCTTCTCCTCTTCCGTCCCCCCCCCCCCCCCCCCCCCCCCCTCTCTCTCTCCCCCCTTTTTCTCCTTCTTCTGGACTGAATGTTCAGATTGAACACAAACCCGCCCTCCTGAGCAGGAAACGCTCCTCTTCATCCTCCTCCTCTGCCTGGTCTGCTCTGAACTACAGTAACCTCTGTGTCTGCCTCTTTACTGCTGGGTAAAATAGAGACTCTCTCTCTCTCTCTCTCTCTCTGTGTGTGTGTGTGTGTGTGTGTTTTCTCAACACGGCGTTGTTCTGAATCAAACCAATGATTCCACTGGAAAACAAACACCCCCTGTTCTCACTCTCTCTCCATTTCACCCAGCTTTTCTCTCTTCCTTCACTTTTTTTATTCATCATCGTCTCCTTATTCTCTCCTTTTTCCATGCGCTCCTTACTCTCTCTCTCTTTTTCTTCCTTTCCTTTCCTTTTTCCACCTCTGTCCTTTCCCCTCTCCTCACTCTCACTCTAACACCTTCCCTTTCCACCTTTTGCTTTTTTTCTCTTTCCTCTTACCTTTCTTCCATTCTCTTCATCACTTCACTTTTTCTTTGTCGCTCCGGTGTTTTTTCTCTTGTGTTTTATTCCCCTCGTTGATCTCATTCATCATGTGTTCATTCTGACGTTCATCCCCTCATCCTGCTCTTGACTTGGAACCACAGACCATAAATCCGTGACTCACCCTGGGCCTGTCTGCCTTTATAGTACAACACTCCGATTATTCACCAGAGTGCATTCTTCAGCTGTCCAGCAGATGGAAACACCAACCACGCAAAAATTTAATTCAAATTTAATTTTACCTCATGTCAAGAATGAGATTTTATCTTCTGGAGAGCAGTGGATCCTGTGGTGTGTACAGTAGCAGCGGTGGATGAACAGAAACTGGGATTTTCTATTAAACTTTCCACTTGGTTTTCAGTGGAACTTTTCTGGTCGTGCCACAAAAAACAGGGCTTTATTTTTTGTGAAATAATCAATCAAACTCTTCCTCTCTTCCTTGGTGGTGCCACAAAAAACAGGGCTTTATTTATATAATCAATCAAACTCTTCCTCTCTTCCTGATTAGTCAGAAATGTTGCACAAACACTATCAGTGAATCAAAGTGTATTAAATGTGCAACATGTTTCCAGACATGTCCTTGTTACAGAACATCAGAACTGGAGCTGAAACACTGATGCTGTTTTTAGGAGAGAAAATAAAAGCAAGAGATGATGTCAGAAACCACACGAGAGCACGTGTGCATGCGCGCGCGCACACACAGACACACACACACACACATACGGATGCGCGCGTCCTGGGTTCTTTGCCGCAATAATTACAAAGTGAAGTAAAATTGTGGCGGCAGAGTCTGCAGAGCCACAGGAAGTCACTGAAACTCATCATGTCCTGATACAACTGTCGAAATAAAATCAATTCAGCGGTGAGGATAATTACACCCTTCTTTATTTTGATTCGTTTAAAAATAATCCAGTTAAACGATATTATATATTTTTTATAAATTATTATCTTATCAATCTATACAGATTAAAAGAAAACGTATTTTTATGTGTTCTAATACATGATCGGTATAACAGGAAAACCGAATTTAGATAACAAAAAAGCTAATACAATTAGCATTTAGCTAGCTCAATAATAGCTTAAATTATTATATAAGAGATACAACAGTGATGAAAAATACCGTTATAAACCACTTATATTAGCACAATTAATTCAAGAAACGTCTTTATTTTGGGATATAAATTGACCACGGTAAGACCGAGACGAGGCGATACAAACTGGGCCGTTTGGCATCTGCAAATCGATAGTGAATATATTTAAGTTTAACTTTATTAAATATTGTTGCTTTGGCTTTAAATAGGCTGACACTGTGTTAGGGATAATTTATTGTCTTTGTGTATCGTACTTAGCTGAACAGAGTATAACTGTTCTTTAACGGCTGTTCTTTAGCGTCACTCATGCTAGTGCTAGCGGAAGAGCCCAACTTTGACCTATGACGTTTGAACGTATTATTTTAATACTTGTTATTTTTACGTCAATCTCGTGACACAAACTGACCACAAGAGGCAGCAGTGGACCAACTCTGGAGATTGTGTCTTTGACCTATATACACTTTTCTAAAACTTTTGTGTTCTTTTGCTCGTGTCCTTGCCGTTTTTTTTCTCTCCCCTTCTTTGTTTTCTCATCATCGCTTTTTTTTCTCTTTTACTTTTCTTCACTATCTGCCAACAATCCTCCTCTTTTTCTTTCTCTCTTCCCATCTTTCTTCACTCCTCCTCTCTCTCTCTCTCTCTTCCTTGCTCTTTCAAACATGGCGGCGGTCCTCAGCTGTGTTTCTTCGTCTCCCGGACTCAGAAGGAAGAGAAACAGACGCGGGTAGAAACTAATTTTCTCCCTAAACCGTTTTCATGCATTTTTAAAATTTAGTTTAAACAACTTTTCCACTGCTCGCGGCTTAGTCGGAAACTTATTTGTTCGCACAGCGTTTTGACAAAC